AGGTAGGATATACAAAAGGACAATCGAAAATCATTAATCGTAGAAAAAACACACAACACCATGGCAAAAACAAAAAAAAAACGATGAAAAGATAGGCAACAGACCACAAAACAACACCCAAATGAAAAAACCCCAAAGACTGAACAAAACAGACCCAACCATTCCAGGTGCTACGGAAGGGTAAGTATATCCTGGTATGCCACATTTATTGAAATCATCGTCAATATATTTTATATTTGCCGTTCAATTATCATATCTTTCTGAGAATAAAGAACGTGCAAGATGACCAAATAAAAGTTATTGAACATTACATTTCGATTCTATCAATTACAAGTAAATGCTTAAATATCTTTTTACAGACAGTATTTGTCTTCAGCCTCCGGATTTCAAAGTTTACAGTTTAGATTGATGGAAAATAAACTTGGAGTGAAGGAGGTAAAGTTACATCTTGTATTGGTATCATCTGATAGCTTTGCTTATTGGTTATTTTGAGTTTTTTCGTTTGTTATATATTTCGTTGTATTTCATAAGTGTCTCGGGGAGGATTAGGTTGAACAGTCTTACCCCCGTTATTATTATTATTATTAGTAGTAGTATTAATAACAATAGAAGAAGAACGTCTTTAAGAAGTCAAAATAGTATTGAATTAGATTAATTAAGAATAGTTCCTTTCATTATTGGATGTTGCAGTTATAGAGTCAGCGATATTTTCCCTTTGTTTCATATACAACTTACTAGTATAAGCTTTTATGATGTTAGCCATAGTCCATCCACGGTATATTCAATGACTGGCATATGTAGGGACTATGTTTGTGCTATATGTCTGGAAGTAAAAGAATGACGGGTACAGAAATGCTGGTATAACCTGCAGGGACTATTACAATATATTAGTCATAGGTCTAATCCATACCTTTTGACACTCGTGAATTCTTGATATTTAATTTGATTTCTATGGCTCGCTTACGAAAGTAGGGTGGCACTATGATTTCAGGCCTTTGTAGTCGTCCGTATCTCTAGGACGTATCAGGTTATAGTTTTTGTTTGAGGTAATGTAAAATTTTGATTTAAGGTAATTTAAAGTTTTGGTCTAAGGTAATTTAAAGTTTTGGTTTAAGGTGGTTGATCATGAAGTTGTGGCATATCGACTTGAAATTGATGCACATGTTCATTATGATGTAAACTTAAAAAAATATATGCTAATTAGGATTTTGACCCATATTTCGTAGTTCACTGAAATGGAAATGTCGTTTTACGCACATATACTCTTAATCATATGAAATTTAAATTTAAAGCAAAAGAAAAATATATTAAAACAACTTTATTTCGCAAAGTACTGAAAACGAAAATATATGCATGCAAGTGCATGTACATGCTAATTATAGTTCAGGAAAATCGAGTAAAGTATAACCAGCAGCACTACATGAGAGTTTTTAATGATGAAGAATCAAAACAAATGTTAGCACATTCAATTACATCGCCTCCGTTACTTACTTTACTTGAGGTAAGAATCGTCGGACTAATTTATTTATTCATTTCTATTTTATGCTCCAACAATATAACAATTCTTATTCAAATGAGATGTAAAATAAGTTAAAATGTAATAGTGATAGCTGTCATTATTGTCAGAGAAAAAATTATTTCTAAATAAAGATAAAAGCTGTATGTTTTAGAATATGGCAATATTTCAAAAAAACATACACTTAGAAACTAATCTATCAAACAGAACAAAGTGTATAGTGATGCCATAGATATTTCTATGTATAAAGTTTATCATTGACTGTATGTATGAATAAATAGAGATAAATAAGGTATACATCTCACCATAAGACAGAAACAAACGACACTACATACAAGTATTCGATCGTGATTTGAACTCGAATAATCCCGATTGAGGACTTGACAATGAAAAATGATAAAATAAAATAGAACCCAACACTGGTTTGCATATTGTACCTTTTGCTTTTTATCACAATGATATTTGCAGCTTAGGGTATTGTGACACAGATAGAAAATGCGCAATCTTTATTGTTGTTACCGTCTTGTCCAGTAAGCGGTCGTATATTATAAAACCATCTACCGTCGAAACAGTTTGACCAAGCTTTGTGTTCTTTTTCATATTTAAGAAATGGCTGGAAAGGACTCCAGGATTAACTGATCACGAAAGGGCTGACTTCAACTTCTGGGAAAGATACAAAAGAGCTGTTTACCAATGGATTGAAAACGACTAGCATACACCAAACATGGTAAAATTAGATAAGCACAAGGACTTACCGCCAGTTCTATACTTCTAAGAGACAGAGCATTTTTCTACGATTACTTCTGTACTTCTTTCAATATGTTATAATCGTTATTTACTTTTTCTATAACACAAGGTCGACACCTCTGCTTTTGAAATGCTGGTCCCGATGGCACTATCAGCGTAGGCTAGGCAGTACTTTGGTACTGACACGATTAAGAATACCTTTCTTAAATTCTCCATTGATAAATGTAAGAAATTACTAAGAAATTAGTTTGGAACTCGCAAATTGACTTGAGATGAATTCTGCCATACTTCTTCGGTTACACTAGGAATTCATAGTATTAATACGTCAGACTTGCAAATGATTTGATTTGAGCGCTCCTGATGAAGGTTTATTCAGAAAAATGCTTTGAACGCATAAATATATAAAGCGTAAATGTAATGTTATGATTGTTTACATATGTGTCGAGTAGGCCGTTTTTTTTTAATCTTGAACCTCATACAAATTTAAGATATAAAAATAGCATTAACAAATTAACAAATATGTGCAGATATTCTCCTTCTTTCCTAGTGCTATTTGTGTTTTCGTTGATGTACAACACAGCTTATTTTTCTATCTGATATCAATAGTATTAACTCATTATGGCGTAAAGCATAAATGATGCAATTAAAGCATATATTTGTAGTGAATTCCGTATAAATTTTCTTAAGATTTGATACCATTTTAAAAGTAGTGATGCTAATTGATGCATCATATAAACATTTCAAAATATCGTTTTTCGTCAGAAAACAAATTGCGAACAAAGCTACTGAAAAACCAAAAGTATCAAACATTGACAAGCAATTTATACAAAATAAACCAATGAACTATTTACAAATTTAATCCTTGGGTATTACTGATATATATATGTTTTTTTAATATAAGAACCATAATACAATTGAACCAAAACAATTACCGTGGTTAATATAAAGTATTAAACTTTTTTAAGGAAGAGACAGATCCGAAACAAAAGGAAATCTTGCTTGCTGAATACAACAAACAAAAGGTGAGGCAATTTCAATTAGAAGTTGAAAATTGCATGTTCCTCTTTTTGCCATTTGATACTTACCTTTTATGAGTATATTTGAAACCTTTTTTTAGTATGTAACATTTTCTAGCATTTTAAGGCACATTTAAATAGTTTGTCAGAATAAAATTCTTTAACCCTTAAATTAACTTCTCAATCATATTTTTTTTTAAATATATTTAGTTTAATCTGATTAGCTTCAGGTTTTTGCATGTTGATTTACTTACAGTTATCAAGGTTGTTGAGACATTGAATATTTTTTCTTGTAGGACTCTTTTGAATCTGTTTTTACAGCTGAAAAATACAACGTCTATGTAGAGAGAGGTAAATACTTTCTCACTTGTATTGATTTTTCATGCCCCCTCCTAAAGATATACTGGTTTGCGTCTGTCATTCCGTCCGTCCCATGGAACTTTAATCGCATTTTCTCCAAAATTTACAAATCGGAGCTTTCTGAAATTTGGAATCAAGCTTGAAGCGTGATGCCTTTTAACATCCATTGTCTATCAACCTCCTGTTTACTAAATACTTAAAGCGGCATGAATATTTGTGAGCAGATTGAAACTCACGGTTCTAAATGTACTTGTTTTAAAATAAAATGCATTGTAGACTATTTTTGCCTCTTTTATTTCTTAAAAAGTCTATTCGATCATCAGAACTTGGTTACTATAGAATATTTTTTTACACAAGAACAAACGTAGAGTAAATGTTCATTAGACAACATAAAAAATGTTATACAATTATTATCGTCCTCAACAACAACAAATACATAAATAAAGAAAAACAGCTCTGCAATTTCAGTCATCTTGATAAAGGTTATAGAATCGTGTTTCGTTTATGAAACACTCTTTAACCTTGCAGTGAACAAGCCGTGACATAGATTTTATGTCAGAGTACGATTAAAATGAAGCGTCTGTAATCCCTCATAACTAAATACTGGCTGCCAAATCATAAACCTATAAAAAACGATTTTTTGGATAAATTTCATTGAAGAACTTAAAGATTTAATTTAACTTAAATTGAAAGTTATTTATTACATATGGATGTTTGTTATGTATATGTTTTCATCTGTTAACTCTGTAGCAGATGTGCAAATATGCTTTCTGCTTACCAGGCGAAAGAAGAATAAACCATAAAGCATTTCAGGGTGCACTGATGATATCATTATACCGAGACGAGCCGAGATTCAATCAACCATTCCAGATGCTTACTCTGTTGATGGATATAGATTCCTTGATCACTAAGTGGCGCTGTAAGTTTAATATAGATTCCTTGATCACTAAGTGGTGCTGTAAGTTGAATATTGATAGATATAGATTCCTTGTTCACTAAGTGGTGTTGTAAGTTTTATATTGATTGATATAGATTCCTTGATCACTAAGTGGCGCTGTAAGTTTAATGTTGATGGATATAGATTCCTTGATCACTAAGTGGCGCTGGAAGTTTACTATTGATGGATATAGATTCCTTGATCACTAAGTTGCGCTGTAAGTTTAATGTTGATGGATATAGATTCCTTGATCACTCAGTGGCGCTGTAAGTTTAATATTGATGGATATAGATTACTTGATCACTAAGTGGCGCTGTAAGTTTAATGTTGATGGATATAGATTCCTTGATCACTAAGTGGCGCTGTAAGTTTAATATAGATTCCTTGATCACTAAGTGGCGCTGTAAGTTTAATGTTAATGGATATAGATTCCTTGATTACTAAGTGGCGCTGTAAGTTTGATATTTATTATTATTAACAAAATAAGTCCACGATCAAAGTTTTTCTCAACAAAAACAAATAATTTATATGAGAAAAATTGCAATTATTTACAGTGAACTGCACACATTGAAAATTGTTTAAATATACCAATATTTCTTACTTTTAGTTTAATGTTGAAATTAATTGATGGCCATGAAAAGTAAGCAGTTGAATTGTTTTGTTGACTTGTTAAATCGCAATTATTATAGAATTTCTATGAATATCCATTAATAATTGCTTACAATTATCCCCCTTAAATGTTTTATTTAAGCTTTGAATATTTTTACTTACGAAGTGTTTGAAATCACAGGATGTTATTTTTTGTTATAGATAATCACGTTATGATGGTTCAACGCATGATTGGAAGTAAAATAGGGACAGGTGGATCTTCTGGTTACCATTACTTACGGTCAACCATCAGGTATGAAGAACACGAAATAGATGTTCAAATGAACTTTTTTGTATATATGGAGATCTCATGCAGACAATTTCTCTTTAAGATCCCGGATTTACAAATTCTTGAAATTATGAGATCTTCTTGCAGTTTGTTCTCAATTTAAATATCTTTATTTTGCTATAATGTCAACACTACTGTGTGATTTGGTTCAATACTAGTATAAACAATTCAATTGTATGAATTTGTATTAAAAAGTGAAAATAATACTTTATAAATTCGGTGTTTCCGAATTGCATTTCTGGATATTCTTCACCAAGAATGCTCACGCCCAAAATTTTTAAAGCTTTGAAATACTTGAATACGTGAATAGCTGTATAACCATAGCTTTACTACTAACGCACACCTGAGTTTTTTCGTTTCACATCAGAGATTGTCGTCTGCCAAGAGAAGTTCTAGGCCTTTTCCCCCTTTAGCATTTTCATAAATGAACTACCTGCAAAATAAGATCAGAAGAGTAATTACTAGTAAACTATATTCATATATCCGGTTAATCTAAGATTGAGGTAACTTTTGTTCGTTTTACACCTGAACAATATTGATTTCTATCAGTAACAATTGCTTGAATGATTCAAGAAAAATTCAAAATTATTGACAAGTTGACAAGAATTGAGTTTGAACGTTTTATTTGGTTTTTGGTAGTAAATTGAGAAAAAGTACAATCTCGATGACCAAATATATTTATCAAATCGTAGTCAAAGTCATTAGAATATAAAACAATATATTTTGTATATTTATTGTCATCATTGGAGCCCATATGGGTACTTGGGGACAGGACAATTTTTTTTAACCCTCCCCCTTTTTTCCAAAATCTGTGACTTTTTTATTTTCTATTCATTTCAATTATTTTCGTGTTATTTTGTATACTATGAACATAAGTATACTATAAATAACTTGTATTTGCTATTTACTATCAATTCCAAGTTTACTATCCATGGCGGTCTCTATATAATATAGTACCTATGTTGGAGTCAAGAAATAAATTACAATATAACAAAATGTAATTTTCTTGAACAAAAAATTTTCGACTACCGACAGATAAGGTAAAAAGCAATTGTTTAAGACAGCGTTGCATGTATTTAGTATAACAATATCTGTAAAAAGATTCAAGTTTAAGTGTTTTAACTTTATATGGTTATACATAATATGTGTATATTGACCTATAATGGTTTACTTTTATAAATTTTGATTTGGATGGAGAGTTTTCTCATTGGCACTCATACCACATCTTCTTATATCAATATATATATATGAACTGACTATCAGTAAAAAAAACCGTTTTAAGACACGAGATACAATAAAAGAACAGAATCGCTTATGTTTTGGCATGATTTTATTAATTTACTTCTCAGAAGTAATACTGTGTTTCAACAACAGTATCATTATATGCATTACCTTTCTTTTTGTTTTTAGTGATCGATACAAGGTCTTTGTTGATCTGTTTAATTTATCGACATTCCTAATTCCACGTCAATACATCCCACCACTAACGAGAAGTATGAAGAAGACCCTCAGTACAGTGTCCACCTCACGTCTACCAGAAACCGACGAAATAAGTGATGTCACCGACCAGCTGGAGAAACAAACATTCGGATCGAGTCCGCGTCAAATGACTGGAACAAGTCCACGAACTAGACCTGAACTATTCACCTAACAGACTAAATGCACGTACTTTGACACATTAGCACATTACGTGATCGCTATTTGTAAAGTGAATAAACAAAAAAAGATGCCCTTGTAAAAAATATGGAAATAAGTCAAAATGACACTCAAATTACATGCTATTGTTATTTTATGTTGATACGAGTTTTGTCGAGTATTTTATGTCCGAGAGACTTGATTAGTTATCAGATACAGTTTTTAAAAGAAGAGAAAGTATTTGCTTATATGTCTTTGAAATAGTACGTTAAAATCAATGAAACAATTTCATTTTACATTTGTAGATACAAAAAAAAAATGATATGATGGACATCTTTCACCTATGAAATTGTGTATTGTATCTGTTACATTTAAATGTTAATATGTAAAAAATATATTGTTACGGTAATAAAGCTTTTCTAAAAGATGAATGTTGTGATGTATTTGTAGGTTTATCTAATAAAACAGAAGATTTTTTTGTCGAACATGTAGCATTACTAACTTAAGTTAGTTATAAGTGTAGCATTGTATTAGAGACAAGAGACGACTCTAATTATAAAACAGGACTTTTCAAATTTATAAACTTGTTATCATGCGTTACATGTTCTACTTTTATATCTAAAGTTGCGTTTATAAAAGGAAGCTACGTACATGTATGAAATGAAAACTAATTTATCAGAAATGATATTATTGAATTCCAAAAGATAGATTTGCTAAGGCTTTAGTCTCTACAAAATAACAACTAAGATTTTGCATTGATTATATTAAAAGAATATTTTCTCCCTAGATTAAACAATGATTTCAATGACTATAATAATACTGAAGTTGACAAGAAAAAAACAAAAGCAGTTAATTTGCATTACTGCGAGTACTCTCAGATCTGTACTTAGTGTCTTTCTGTTGTGTGGATGTATAAGTACCCGTCCACGTTCACTCTGTATTTTTGTTAGATGTATTTCTATTTGTATCCATCTGATGAGTTGAGCCTTTTTCAACTGATTTTTGTCGAGCCTTCGACTTTTGTCGAAAAAGCCAGACATAGCGATCCAACATTCCGTCGGCGTCGTCGTCGTCGTAGATGGACTTAGTTTTTCTGCCAGGAAACATTACATTCAATCTGTGGTTAAAGTTTTTAAAATTTTAATAACTTTCTTAAACTATCCTGGATTTGTACCAAACTTGGTCAGAAGCTTGTTTATGATCAAAAGCTAGTATCTAGAAGGAAATTTTGTTAAAATTTTGTACCTGTTTATCCGTATTTTACTTATAAATGGACTTAGTTTTTCTTCCAGTTAACATTACATACAGTCTGCAGTTAAAGATTTAAAACATTTATAAGTTCATAAACTATCCTGGATTTTTACCAAACTTGTACAGAAGCTTCTTACAATCAAAAGATTGTATCGAAAGGAATATTGTTATTATTTTTTTTCCTCATTTTTGTTGAGCCTGCGATTAACAGCAAAAGTAGGCGAGACACTGGGTTCCGCGGAACCCTTACACATTTTTATAGTTTGTTCTTATGTTGTACTGTTTCACCACTGTCCCAGGTTAGGGGGAGGGGGTGTGTTGGCGCCAATAAACTAGTTTAACCCCGCCACATTCTGTATGTGCCTGTCCAAAGTCAGGAGCCTGTAATTCAGTGGTTGTCGTTTGTTACTGTGTAAGATATTTGTTTTCCGTTCATTATTTTGTACATAAATTAGGCCGTTATTTTTCTCGTTTGAATTGTTTTACATTTGTCATTTCGGGGCCTTTTATAGCTGACTATGCGGTATGGGCTTTGCTCTTTGTTGAAGGCTGTACGCAGACATATAGTTGTTAATGTCTGTGTAATTTGGTCTCTTGTGTAGAGTTGTCTCATTGGCAATCATACCACATCTTCTAATGTTATTATTACTGTATGCTTAAGATAAAGCAACAAATGCATTTCTGCATCAATAAAAAATCTTCAGTCCACAAATTGGTACAAACGAAAATCAAATTATTCCTCAATCTACTATTTGTAACCCTCGAAAGTAAATGAATCATTTACAAAACAAATTAGGCCCAGCAAAATGATGTGATCCCAGACGTAAATAAGTCAACACCATCAGTTTTCTAAAGTTTTTTTAATGGAATTATTCAACGAGATGGATTTGGGCATTCTTACTCAGTGCTTCTTGGTTTATTCCCGATTAGGCAGAATGTTTACTACTGCGTATTTATACACCAAGCACAGCAACGGTATTGACCTACCAAAAGATCCCAAGTAGCTTATTTGTTTTGTAAATGATTATTCTACAACTGCTGGTAATAATGGGTCTTTGCTTCTTTATAGTAGACGATCGTAATTGATTTTGTATATTTAGCTTGAAATGATACCAGTATGTAAGAGAAAAAAAACCATGCAAATTTCTTCAATTTGTTCTGAAAGAGCGTAGTGATTTCGCGCAAAATTGTTATGCATCCGCCACAAATATTTTTTTTAGATGGTAAAAATAATTATTTTTCTAGCTTACTGTGGATTCATTTATTTTCGTGGGTATCAATTTTCGTGGATAGAGAAAAAAAGACGTTTCGTGGTATACGTAAATTCGTGGATCGCTGATCACAAAAAAAAATTAATTCAGATTCGTAATTCGTGGATTTCTTTTTGATTTAGGAGATCATATAACCTCCTTAGTTTGATCAATAATAAAACAAACAAAAAAGAAGGATTTCATTGAAAAAGTTTTGAATGGTCAAAATCCTCGCTTGGTCATTCTATGTTAAAGTGTTCATTGAAAACTTATATTACAATAATGGACAGAGACAACTAATTATTTGTTTGATTTACAATTTATAAATTCTTGTTGGAATTTTATAAGGTATTCAAAACTCTATGATTGAAAGCTCATTTCCCTAATCACGATATAACAAACAGTCATATAAGTAAAAGTTGTGAAAATAAATGTTCCTGTCATAAACAATATTGCCCGTATTCTTTGAAAACTTAAATTCGTGGTTCGCTGTGACCCACGAAACCCACGAAAATTGGTATACCACGAATAAAAATGAATCCACAGTATGTATAGTTTTACAGTTATTACCGCTTACATCCTGGCGATACTCATATTTTGGCATTGCACAATGGGATGTTTTTCTCAACCTATTTTAACATCTTTAAACTAAATCCATTGGATGTGTACTGATTGATATTTTGTCTTGAGTACATGATTTTTTATTGGTTGTTATTGGTGTTGAACTAGCTTTCAGTAACTCATTGTTACTGCAAGTACTCTCAGATTGGAACTGTATGTCTTTAGTCTGATGTTAGTTGTTTTTTGTGCTTTGTATCAATCTGATAAGTCAAAGCTTTTTTTCAACTGTTTATAACCGTTTGTTCTTGTAATGTTCTGTTGCCCCGCTGTCCAATGTTAGGGGTAGGGTTGGATGTCCGCAAACATGTTTAACCCATGGGCCAGTTAATTAGTGGCTGTCGATGCTGTATATCAGACGTGTTTTATTGTTTTCTACGTAAATTAGGCCGTTGGTTTCTCGTTTTAATTGTTTTACATTTTGTTATGTCAGGGCCTTTTATAGCTTGCTATGCGGTTTGCTCATTGTTTAAGGCTGTTGGGTGACAAATAGTAGCTAACATCTACGTCATTTGGTCTCTGGTGGATAGTTGTTTTATTTCAATCATACCACATCTTATTTTTGTATTGCACCTGATAATCTTACAATTTCTGTAATTGCGAATTGCACATCGAAAAAAATTGTCGAGCTTATAGTAGATACCACTTTTACTTGAATGAATACTCATTTTATCCACTTGCAGTTAGGCATTCAATACATTTATGAAGTTTATATGACACAAATCGAAACACTCTTGAAAATCTTTGGTATTCTTGCTGGCGAGTTTGTGCGATAAACATGTACCATTAGCCAAATATCAGAACAACACAGCCATTGATATAATCTTGCATTGATTAGATATAAGAAGATGTGGTTTGAGAGCCAATGAGACAACTCTCCACCCAAGTTACAATTTGTAAAAGTAAACCATTATAGGTCAAAGTACGGCCTTCAATACGGAGCCTTGGCTCACTCCGAACAGCAAGCTATGAAGGGCCTCAAAAATGACTAGTGTAAAACCAATCAAACAAGAAAACCAACGGTCTAATCTATATAAAAAACGAGAAACGAGAAACACTTATGAACCACATCAACAAACGACAACCACTGAACATCAGGTTCCTGACTTAGGACAGGTGCAAACAGATGCAGCGGGTTTAAACTTTTTAATAGGCACCAACCTTCACCCTAACCTGAAACAATAGTGTAACATCACAACATAGCAAGACACACTATAAAATATCAATTGAAATGGCTTAACTCAATCAAAAGACATATTAACAAAAACATACACTGAACGAATAAATTTGATCTATGACACCATGTAAATACAAATTTAATAAAAGGGGGGGGGGGGGGGGGGGGTAGATGTAAAACAATATCAGAAAGACAACCATAACCTTTGACAAAATGCCGCCAAATAAAATAACGGTGGTTGATGTGGTCTGTTGTACTATACAGTATTTTTTTAAAATTTCTGTAAACCTTTATATCTAATATCATGATTTGAAAATTCAAAATTTTGAGTAGTTATCTTGTAAACCAGACAGCACGATTTTAGGAATAAAGAGATTTTATTTCATATACATAATGGAGTAAGGGCATTAAGGCCAAGTGTTGGCTCAAGAAATGTTTTTGTGAACTATTTCAAATCCGCACATAATGTTTGGAAATGCGTTAATTAAGAAATATAATTGATGAACATTTAAGATTATTTATGTTATGACGTAATAAATGCGTCATTATATGCACTATTTTCATGAAAACAAAGACAAATGCAGAATTTATGGAGTTTTCCATTGTTATTTCCATTGTGGAAACATTGTGCGCAGCTAAGAAACAACAAAATAATTTTAGAAAAGCTTTGTTATAACTATTGACATAATCTCACCAAAAATAAAGTTATTTCTTCGATGCGCACATACTTTTCAAATCTAATATATACTAAAAAGTGGATCGTGTAAAGAAAAAAAAGAAAATCAAATTTTTTTACAAAATATACCAATTTCGTCATGGTTTGTTGCCAC